ATTAGGAAAAAGATTAGAACATTCTTCAGTTCAACATATTTTTTTATACTCACATGGTTTAATTACTAAAATATAATATAAATACAGCTAATTCAACTAGTTTCTACATCTTGTATGCCTAATTGCACTTTTAAATTTGTCTGTCTTTAAATTTAGATAAAAAAATGATAATTTTTCAGTTAATGTATTATACAATATGTTGAATTAAAAAATATATCAATCAGTGTCCTTAAAATTAATTTCCCACTTGATTGATATTAGGAATATATCTTTTACATTGACATGATAGATTACAACACATATAGTCAATATTACAACAAATCAAGTTACATTCCAACCTTTCTTTACTGACTTTGATCCTCTAAACCAAATTATATCCCAACTTTTCTTTTCTAAACCAAATTAGATTCCAACCATTCTTTCCTAACTTTGATCCTCTAATTAAAACGTGTTAGTGTTTAGTAAACGCTTTATAGCGGACACTAGCCAAAACAAGAAGAGACAAAGTTAAGCCACCTAATTCACAATTAACATAATTTTCGTCAAGCGAAATACATCTAATCACCAGGTTAGCCTTCGTGGGAATTTTATTTTCAGTAAGTTATCACCAAAAAGCACATACCATAGTTAAAATCAAGGAATTTTTTTATCAGTAAAACAAAATTTATTACTAAGAGTATTAGGATTATTTCAATACACACAAAAAATTTGGATAAAACCACGCAAAACAACAAATACTCAAAAAATCAACACAGCAGAAAAAGATGAGGACAGGAAACCCCAATCTAAAACAGCCAAATATTCTAAATCATCTAAGTGAAGAAAAACCAACAAGCCAACAAAGTACATCATCACATTTAGCTTAAAACATTCATTTTTTTACAAGCCCAAAAAAGGAAATTGGAGAGCGCTTTGCAACTCTTGGTCACCACAAAATTAAAGTTGTCGATCAACCAACGAGGCTGACTGTGAGAATATGCTACAACCAGAATTTGCAGAATATAGAAACAAATTTTTTTTAAAGCTTTCACAACCAGCCATCACTCCTTCCCTGTCTCGGTTTGCAACCATGCATTTATCATCACCAAAAGTTCTTCCTCCCAATAAAATAGTTATCTTTTCCATCTAAGTTTCAATTCCCCAAATGCCCTTTTGTCCTTATTCTTCCATTTGATTAATTTTGCACTCTTTCTGCTGCAAAGAGAAGATATAATAATGGAAAACTATTAGAAAGTTCTAAGTCCCTCATCCATACGTCTTCTGAAAACTAATTGCTCGATATTTTAGTAAGAAATATATGGTGTGCATCCTGTTGAGGAATGTGGGTATAGGAGTCAATAACTAGTGGCACTAAGACGTGAATATTAGAAAAGAAAACAACAGAAAATTAAATAGAAAAAGTTTTGGGGTATGATCTCACCTTCTTAAGAATTTTTTTTTTCTAATGTAGAGCTTAGGGATTGAACTCCAAATTTGTGGTTAAAAATATAGGTTTCTTTACTATTAGACTACATAGCTTATGGTACTTAAAGATTCAAAAAAAGATTCTTATTGGTACATTTTTCAATTTAATATAATATACAACATATTTATTAAAAAATTATTATTTTTTAGTATAAAATTGATGACTAAGAAATTTTTAAATGCACCAATGCATAAAGTAAATAGGAACCGACTGAATTGGTTATACTTATATTATATTTTTATAACTAAACCGAATAAGTACTGTCAAAAGGTATGTTAAAACAGAAGGTATATCAATCATTTTCCATTCAAAAATTCTCCATGACACAGCAAAATGCAAAAACTCCCTCAAAATTAGGTTAGAACTTAAATTGTAATGCCCAAAAATCATATAACGAGATGGAAGTATGAGAGTGATTGGTATATAAGTGTGAAGAGTAACCACTATTAATAAGTTAAACTCTATTTTGAGGGCTTGTAGACCTTGGCTCCAATAGTAATCAGGCTAGTGGAGGGTTTCAATTTGAGTCATTTTAGACTTTTAATTGGTATTAGAGAGGTCACCTTTTGCAAGTGTGGGCCCATACTGACCATCATGGCCTATGGTAATGTGGATCTCACATCACTAGAGATAGATTTTGTGCTTATAGCTAAATGGGCCTTGTTTTGATTGTGATTAGGTTTACCAAGTACATCAAGTGTCTAAGTGGGGGAGTTTGTAATGCCTCTAATTCCCACATTAGGATTGAAGTGTGAGTGTAATTGGTAGATAAATTTGGAGACTAACACTACTAACAACTTCAGTTTAAGTTTTTGATGGCTCATAGATTTTAACATGAAGAGTTGTTAGCTCAATGATGGACTTTGGCCCATTTTATTTCTTGACTTTCTATTATTGAAATTTATATTGGTTGAATAGACACCATTTGTGGGGTTATGTCCATCTAGAAACACACCATTTTAAAAAGGTGTTTTTCAGCTGTCAGAAGTGATGTCTAAATTTTAGACATATTTCTTCAATTTCAAAATTTAAAACATCAATATATAATCTTTACATTGAGAGATATTATATGAGATTAACGTGAATCTCAAATTTTGAAATATAAATTTCCTATATGAGAAAGTTCATATAAAAAATGCATTCACATATCTCTACTCATTAGAAATGAATTATTCTTTCTTGAGGAGACTTAATTTAATAAAAAAAAAATTCTCTTTTTCAATTCACGATCTTCACATTGAGATGCATGTTTGATTTCTCAAATACTAGAGATATTTTTCTCCAATTTTTTTAAAATGTATCTGGATATTCAAGTTTAAAATAAAATTGTATATCATAAATATCACAAGTGTATATCTTTATTATTGTTTTCCACAAAATTTGCTTTTGTATCTTTCCCCTTCTTATTGAGTAAAACTTGTAACACATCAAGCAAATGTTTGGAGATATATGATAAGTACATGAACTGCTTGAATATACTAAAAATATGTGGCCAATGATCATTCATGTTACATCTATAATAATAACTCTTGAATTTTTAGCAACTTAATTTGCAAATCTTTTCTTTTTTGCATAATTTCGTTTCCACAACCATATTAATAATAATGATATAATATGATGTTATATTCTTTTTAGAGAATGGAATCAAACCATTGGTTGTGATAAAAAAAAAATTAGTAATTTTGTTATCAAAAAGAAGACATGTAAGTTTGAATATATATATATATATATATATATATTAAAATTGCCCTTTGGAGATTATTACTTCTAGAGTATATTCAAGGTATAAAAAAAGAATTTATCTTCTCTAATATGTCTTTTTTAGTATTTTTTTTTTGTATGAAATAATTTAAAATATTTGTAGATTTATACTTAAGTAATAAATAAATCCATTCATAGCTAGTTTTTGGGAAATTTTGTAATTTTTTATGATCATTTGCCTTCCAAACTATTGCATAATTCCAATGAATAATTCATCATAAAATATTCATCTCTTAGTATTTTTTGGATTTCATAATGAAGAAATATCACTTTATTGCAATCCTTCAAGGATTTTTTTTTCCTTCAAGAGTGTTTTTTTTCTTTTAAAGATGATTTATTTCCTTTTACAATTGAATCTTTAAAATTCACCATTGCTAAATGAATTTTCACATCACGACGAATAGTTAGAACTTAATTTATTAAGAGCATGAACTCAAATATTTTGACAAGTGTAAAATTAAATATAAATAATAGAATTGTCATAACAATATAAAATACTCAAATTAAAAATTAGAACTTGAAAGACAAAATTTTACCTCAAAATCTTATCTTAAAGTCTTTACCCCAATTAGTTTATCACCTCAAATAAATTTTATGAAAAGTAATTCATATAGTGATAATTTGTGCTAATGACATATTATAAAGTAATATGAAAAACAAAGTAATAGAGAAATTAAACATGATAGAAGATAGATTAAACAAGCACTAGAGAGAATTGGAAAAGCAACACCAACAAGAGAAAAGAAAACTTGTAGCTTGTCTAATATTTCATATAAAGTGGACTTATTTATATATGAAAGAGTTACAATTCTCAAAATGAAAATTTATTGTACAATAATTTTTGTAAGTAATTTTTATATAGAATTTTTTTAGGGACAAGTTAAATCTCATTAAATATGGTATTTGTAATTAATTATAAATTTTTATACTAGATTCAATTCAAATGAAATATAAAATATAAAATTGATAAAAAACAAAATAATATTTAAAAATATATATATATTTCAACCATTTATAATAAAAAAATAATTGATTAAAATTTTGTATGAGGTCATATGTAT